TGATGGGTATACATGTTGTTAATGTGTGTGTGTATATATGTGTGTATATATATGTATGTATATATATATATATATATATATATATATATATATATATATATATATATGTTTTTTTTATGTATGTAATCTGACTGTTCACACATACACACAATTTTTTTAATGAAAATGTTTTATTGGACCTCACCAGCATAGTGATCAGAGGCTGCTTGATCAGTTTAATCCAGATTTTTTGGATCAAAGTGGGGCTGGCGGCTGACAGACACAGAGTGATTTACCAGGAATAGATCAGTGGCAGGCGGCGTGGTTCAGAGTCCTTATAACAAGCATGGGTCAAGGGCAGGCAGCGTGGTTCAGAGTCTGTGTGACAAGCGAGGGTCGAGGGCAGGCAGAAGGCAACTCTGAGTCAGAAACAGCCTGGGATACTGCACAAAATATCAGGCAGGGAATAACGCTCAAAAATGTTGGCCGTGGCTGAACAAGACTTCGCAATGAACTGTTGTTTGAGTGTGGCTTATATGGGGAGCGTGGGTCATTACCGTGATTCAGATCAGGTGTGTGCACAATCAGTCTAGGTGGATGATGTAATGCTAGAAGTCCGGGGATGGTGGCCTCTGCTGGCCAGCGAGGGGAATGACTGGGACCGAGTCGGTGACACTAAAGGTTTGATCTAGATCAAAACCAAGATTGGATTACATGGTCTAATCAAATTATGTAATCCATTTTTTCTTTTGAAAAACCCATTTTCAATATTTGATCCAATGCATTATCCAAAGTCCTAGTTTATTACTAATGCAAACACCAACTGACCCAGCCGAGGCTCAAACCAGCAACCTTCTTGTTGTGAGGCGACAGCACTACCTACTGCACCACTGCATCGCCCAGCTTAATATTTTCACAATTATTATTTATTTATTTTTTGCCATTATTTTATTTTGTTTGTGGTGGGTAGATTTTAATAGATTATTCTGTATTGTTGGTGGTTAATTTTTATTTATTTATTTATTTATTATTGTGACCAATGTTGAGATTCAAAGATAACATTAATAATTGTTGACGTCTGTCTGTCTTTGAGTTCTGTTAGAATGTAAATTATCATATGCATTTGTTTTTGTTTATTGTTTTTATTGTTATTATTATTATTATTGTTATTATTATTATTATTATTATTATTATTATTATTATTACAAAACATGTATTTTTCACCAAGAAGAATCATGCTGATTCCAAAGGCAGATATTGATAACTAATTCAGTGTATCATAGCAACTCATTGTCATTAAATAATTTTATTTCCAGGTTTTCTGTGATATACTTTTAATTTAACATCAAAACTTAATTGCTTCATAATGCAATATGATACAATCACATAATAGCAATGCTCTTCGATATTTTAAGCTATTTTTATTGCATTTATTTTCGTTTTGGAAAAAGATTGCTAAAGGATGGTTTTTCACTATCATACTGATAAATTCAGTTTAAACCGCTGTAGTTAAAACCCATCCTTACAGTTCAAACATTTTCTTTGTGAAATGTTTACTTAGGCCTGTTAAATGTTCATTAATCACTGTAGCTCCAGTGGTTTAATTATTGCTTCAAAAACCACTATGCAAAGATGTATTAAAGACATGGATTTTAGCTATCGCATTCCTTATGTCATGCCACTCTTGAACAACAGACAGTGTCAGCAGTGTCACGCTGGGCTGGGCTGCAGAATGGACTGCTGCTGAGTGGCCAAAGGTATGTTCTCTGTTGAAAGTAAATTTAGCTTTTTTGTTTTTGGAAATTAGAGTCCCAGAGTCTGGAGAAAGAGTGGAGAGGTACACAAGCCATGTTGTTTGAGGTCCAGTGTAAAGTTTCCACAGTCAGTAACAGTATTGGGTGCCATGTCATTGGCTTGTGTTGCTCCACTGTGTTTTCTGAGGTCCAAGGTCAACACAGCTGTATACCAGGACGTTTTATAGCACTTTATGAAGATGCGGATTTCATTTTCAATCAGAACTTGGCACCTGCACACAGTGACAAAGCTACCAGTACCTGGTTTAAGAACCATGGGATCTCTGTTCTTAATTGGCCAGCAAACTTGCCTGACCTTCCTCTTTCTGTAAAGAAAGATGCGATATGCCAGACCCAACAATGCAGAAGAGCCACTATCCTGGGCTATCATAACCTGGGCTATCATAACACCTGAGAACTGTCATAGACTTATCGACTTCATGTTATGCTACTTTGCTGCAGTAATTCAGGCAAACATACATACATCCTGCCCACATACCGCTTGGAATGATGGCACTTGGGCGGTCCACTCCTGTTTGCTAGATCTGGGCCACAATTAAGCCATAGCAATATTACATATCAGCCAGAATTCAACCAAGTGAACCAGAACTGACCCTATTTTGGAGCACAGTTTGCTTTCATTCTGGCCCAGATCCGGCCCACACCAGACACTATATCTGGACCACATACTAAATGGAATGATTGCTCTACTCCTGTTTGTCAGATCTGGGCCACAAATAAACCAAAGCAATACCACATATCAGCCATATACAACCAAATGAACCAGATTTAATCATATTCTGGGCCACAATTATCTTTTATTCTGGCCCAGATCTGGCCTACACCATACATTCATTCATTTTCTTGTCGGCTTAGTCCCTTTATTAATCCGGGGTCGCCACAGCGGAATAAACCTCCAACTTATCCAGAACATTTTTACGCAGTGGATGCCCTTTCAGCCACAACCCATCTCTGGGAAACATGCACACACTTTCATACACTATGGGAGAACATGCAAACTCCATACAGAAACGTCAAGTGAGCCAAGGCTCGAACCAGCGACCTTCTTGTTGTGAAGCACTACCTACTGCGCCACTGCGTCGCCTTCTCAATTTATGTCCTTTTTATGACAAATGTTACAAAGCGTTTATTAAGTTTACATTAAAAAAGAACATACATATAATAAAAAATATAATAAAAAATAGTTAAAATTGAATAGTGGTAGTAGAAAAATATATAAATACAAATATATAATTAATATATCATGCTATATATATATATATATATATATATATATATATATATATATATATATATATATATATATATATATCACTTCAACTAATAATAGATCTGAATAAACTGTACATTTAACAATCAACATTTAGTATAAAATAGTAATAAAAACAATAACAATCAGTATATTTACAATGACTACTTTATATTAATCTAGATGTATGTGTGTTCAAGCGCATTACTGTTCTTTTTTATTGGTCTGCTCTCTCCTTTTATAACAGGTGTTTATGTATTGTGCCGCTAGAAAGATACAGTCATTTTTTTACAAGTTGTGTTTTATTGTCTAACTCAGTGAATTGAGAGTAAATGCTCTAGACAAGTGGTTCTCAAACTGTGGTACGTGTACCACTAGTGGTACGCAGGCTTCCTTCTAGTGGTATGCGGAGATATCAAATGTGTCATGTATATGCTCCATATATTTCAAAATTTATCAAAAATGATTTATATATGAAAATGACATATAATAATATTTATTATATGACATATACCCTATATTTCTGAGGTCCAGGCAACATTTCCAGGTGTTCATGAATGGGCTACTATATGTTAATACTTTACATTTAAGTAGAGCACTTTTCTTTGTACTTTTTATGAACTTTAACCTACCATTTTTAACTTTTAAAAGCTCATTTTAATTTAAATGTTGACATTTTTAGTTTGTTTGTTTACATAAGCACAGTAGTGTTTACGTTCAAACTATTTACGATCAGGCTGACAATAATACATTTTCTTAATAATAGCAATTAATCTGCCACGTTTTAGAACTGTGCAGAGCCGTAGCTGCTTTACTGGACTACGCCACTGTATTTCAATACTGCTCATTATAATGGTACTTGGAGAGACAATTTTTTTCTAAGGTGGTACTTGATGAAAAAAGTTTGAGAACCACTGCTCTAGTCTCTAGAGTCTGGGCCACTAAACCACTGAGACATTGTAATGTATCGCCGTTTACATATTGAAACCAGATACTATAAGTTATATGCAAAATATTGATCATACTTTTAAAAATTTTAAATTACTATTTTACTATTGTATTTGGTATACATTTTAAATTATACTGTTAATAATGACAAATAGGTAAAAATCTAATAGTAAAGGCGGCAAGTAGGCTAAAATTAGTAGGCTATATGTGGAAGTGAAGGGATGTGATCAGTCATAAAATAATATTTGTTCTCCTAGTTAGATCTACTTCTTACGTTAGCTGTGCATTTCTCTGAAAATAAATGTACGCTTTAGAATGTTCACCTTTCAATGAGAATCAAACATTAATCTTCGCACTTTATCGCTACAGCATGTGTGCCCGTTTAGCATACTTGGAAAACTGTAATGCAACTATTTCAATTATTCATTAAAACATGTAAGAATAAAGATTACTCTCCAGATATTTTTTTTTCCAAATTGCTTTACCGTTTTAATAAGATAGTCGATAGTTTAAAGACTTTAGATCCAATAAAAATAAACAAGAATAATAAAGAACATTATCTCAAATACATATCCAGATAAATCGCGACACCTTCTGGTCACTACGGCGATGAACGGGCTGCATTATCAGAGATCAGTTTAAAACAGGGAGATTGGATATTAACTTTTCCTCCCCAACTCAACCCTAAACCTACCACTCACCGTAAAGTAAAAAATAGTAATTACTGCTTAACAATAGTTTTTTTTATAATAATATTATTAATTGTTAACGTTAACTTCCGGCAGCTGCTGAGGGCAGAATCATTTTGGCTAATAACGTTACAGGCTTAACTTTCATTTGATGCGGTGTTTTTATCCCTGCCATACTTTATTTATTTAAGTTAACTACTAGGTCCTGCGAGCTGAATGCTTTCTTTATATTAACAGCCTACAAGTGAAGATTTTTTTTAAAATACAGGACTCTTACTCTGAAATTATCGAAAGGAAATACGTAAGTGAAGGTCATTCAGCAAAAAAAAAAAAAAAAAAAAAAAAAGTATGACACAGACAGCTTGCCAACCGGTAAAGAATTTGTAAAAATCAGCTTGCCGAGCTCTTATTTACTTCTTCGTTAAGTTTCGATATCCAAAACTACTGGGTTAGAACAGTGTATAATGGCATATGAATAGTAATATATTTATATACAGGATAGAAGGAAGCTATACTTGGGCACATTAGACAAGACTTCGATAAGAGAGAAGAGTCTAGAATCTACAGGATCACTGTCAGCAGCAGCATTGACCGCTGGATCACTGAATCACTTTTAACAGAACGGCATGAGGAGTTTGCCATATTTTTTCCGGGGACCGGTTGTCCGCGGATTTGGACGAGGAAGCAAAGACCTGGGCATCCCAACAGGTGAGATAAAGTCTATAATGAGTGATCCTCATTTTCTCTTGTATATGGAAAGTTTAATTTAAGAATCGCCTCCCAAAGTGATACTAATTAGACAACATACTAAAAATATTAACAATAAAAAAATGATAGTAATTTTATAATGATTTAGGTACTTTTTAATTATGGTGACAGGGAAGAGCACAGTGACAATTTTCATTAAAAAAATCATTTTACAAAATGTCTGCTACATGGTATCAAACCAAGTTGACAATCATTTTTATACTTAATAAATTAGGTAACGTTAGTTATAATCTATTTAAATTCTGTTTCAATTCCCCAAAAGGATGTCAATGCCAAAAGCTTTATTAAAAGTCATGACAATTTTATGTCATGTCATGACTTTATTAAAAGTCATGACATGATATTAAAGGTCATGATAACAGAAACACAATGTAGTTACAATGGACCTTTCCTCATAGATCTTTATTAAATAGAAAAAAAACTGTGATTTTTTAATTTATTTTAAAAATATAGATTTTTGTTAAACAGTAAAACACAAGTGAGACAACTCCAGGTGACCAGTACTTTCATTATAAAATGTAGTTAATTTATTTTCTATAATTTATTTCTTGTGATACAGAAAACACACAATAAATTTTAAACTAAAGAGTTTCTGAAATGTAATTATTTTTGTTAAGGCTAGAGACAGTAAAACAGAAATCTCTGTAGAATAAATAGGGCTGTGAGTCTTTAAGAAGAAAACGAATGAGTTTTATTCACAATACCTAGCTTTCCGTTTCAATTCAAAAACAATTTTTGTCAATTGTGTGTGATTCACAATACAATCCGATTTCTTTTAAATGTTCGATTCTGTAGCCTACTTTTTTTTGTAACTTTTGCATTAGATTAAATTAAATATTTTTTTCAGGAGTTTTATGACCAGTTAAACACATTTTCAGCAACTCGATGCAGAACTTCTGTATTTTAAGCTAATATATACATACTAAATATATAAAACATTATATATAAATATATATATATATATATATATATATATATATATATATATATAATGTTTTATATATTTAGTATGTTCAATAAAACATTAGTGTTTAATTATAAACATTGAAAATATTTCTGAACATGTAGGAAATAGACAGACTGAGCAAACTTGAGCTTTAGCTCCTCTATTACAAACTGATACAATTCAGCCATACGTTTTACATTGAAAACTGTCTGCTATGAATTTTGTATCTTGGTTCTATAGGAGTGGTCTCGAACATTATTTCAAATACTACTGAAGGTGTCAGAAAGCTACTCATGTCACAGTCACTGAATAATTCAAATTAATTAAATATCATACAGGCTCCTATCAGTAACGGCAGTTCCTTTACACACTAAGCAAGTTGCATAGGGCACCAACTTCATGGGGGAACCCTCCCGGTTGCTCAAAAAAAATATGTATAGTAATAAAAACATAAACTGAGTATAAAAAGCATGTTGATAAATATATTAAAATGCTTTTTATGGCAAATGAAAAAAAAAAAAAACATATAATGTGAATTTTTTTCCGTGCGCGTGCCCCGACCCACTTATGTTTGTGGTTGCAATGGCTGGGAAAAGACAACAGCAGTCTGGTTCTGAGAAGAGGGGGGAAAAGCCAGACAAACCCCATGCATCACTTTCAGGTATGTACGTAAATCTAGAAAACATTTTATTTTTGGTTAAAAATGACATCTTTGGTTTAAGTTGATTATTTAGGCTTATTAGCATTCAACGTTGCCACAACTCTACCAAATCTTCCTCAATTGTTGGAGTTTACATTCAGATTATGTAATATAATTTCTTGCTTTGCTGCTATGCATTGTGTTTTGAGCTTTGACTTTGTGTAATAAACCAAGCCATTATATTATTATTAATATTATTATTATTATTATTATTACTAATTTGAGCAATATGTGACAGTTCTGTTTTCACACCATACACATGCATTGCACATTTTTTCACTGTATACAATGTTAATTATAATTCAGTGCAATTCTCTTTGTTTATTGTTTTGTCTATTTTGACACTTTTTTATTACTTCTGTTCAAGCTAATTCTGTTGTATTACTGTCTTTGCATCCATGGAGTGCTGTGTTTTAATAGGTCATTATTTTCTCTTTTGTGCATTGTCATATGAAATTACAAAATTGACTAACATTCTCTGATTTCTGAAAGCTCAAGAGTATAAAGTTAGTCAAATTCACTGTACTAATAAGCTATACACCATAAACCATTATTATTGCTTGGACTCCTCTATTTTTATTTTTATTATTATTATGTATTTATTTATTTTTTTGGCTGAATGTTTACATTACCTGTTTGTTTAAAAGCACACCATAATGAAAAAAAAATGGCAAATGGTTTGATTTATACTGACAACAAGGGCAAGTTTCTGTTACCATAGATTATAGTGTAGGTTAAATCCACATTTTGGTTACAATTATATATATTATTGGTGTTTCATCAGTTTAATGACTAATTTCTTCTGCATTGTTCTGTGGGTTTGATGCTGAAATTTGTCACAAAAGAAGATGAGGTGGCATCATCCAGCACTGCTTCAGAGGAACCCAGCAGCTTCATGGATACAGACACTGAATACTGCACTGAGTACTGACCATCTATTAACTAACAGGTACAGAGAGGCTTTTATTCCTTACCTTTTGTAAATAGTTGAAATTAGGAATGGTCCTGCAGAAGACATGTCAGTGTTTAAAGTATTGTTTTGTAATTTAAAGATTTTAATGTTTAAAAGTACAATTTTCAGTATGTATTTGTATATCTAAATAAATAAATTCATGTTTAAATAAATATAAATACAATGTGTGTGTGTGTGTTTGTGTGGGCTTTTTTCCCTTTTGGGGGAAGACAGTAAAAGTGTTAAAAGGGCATTATTTTGGTCACAGCCCTGGCTATAATGGATTGAAAATCCAAACCGTTTCACACCACAGAATGTTTTTCATGCTGCCCTTTAAATTGAAAAAGAATAGAATCGAAGAGCACAGTTCCTTTATAGAAAACAGTATTGTAGATTACAGATTTTCTGCACAAAAATATAGTTGTATGTATATTTCATAACTCTCAAATGAACAAACTTCAATGTTGAGTTTTTTATTTATTTTTATTTTTTCTTTTTGAGGTTTTTAAGCTTGGTAGTCGTAGTCTTGGCAATTTCTTTTTAACAAACTTTTTAAAGTAAGCTACTGTAAATATAGAAATTCCTACTGAATATAAAAAGAGAGAAAAGGGTGTGACTGTACAATGTTTTTTTTTTTAGATATTATTATACTTCAAGAAATACATTCTCTGTTGTTCTGTGAACATTCTCTGCATAAAAATCTTGTGTAGCCTATATTAAGGTAAGCATGTAATATTATTATTTGTTGCATTTTTTTTTCAGCTGAGACATTGCAGAAATATCCTGCTCCAAAATAGAAACATTTCATCATCATCACAGTTAGGACAAAAACTTCTTTTGGAAAAAAGTGTGAAAGTGTGTTATCGGGATACAATGTAATATATTTAACAACTGTGCAGGTCTGGTGTAAAAGTAGACCAGCCAAAAGGTGTCTTTCCACCAGATTTTGTTTTTTTACATTATGTATTGATTTATAATTGAAAATCGTTCATTTCTTGAATATGCAATTGATTATTGACAAAGAGAAACGATTAAAAATACATGTTTCATAACAGAGTCATAGACAAGGCCTGGGCAAAATTCTGTAAGACTAGAACAAAGGCATAGTGTAAAACTTATAGGACACTGAGAAATCTGAAAGATTTGGAATTGTGATACTAAGTCTAATTAATACAGAAATTTTATCCTCCTTACTTTAAACTCCTAAACAATTTTAAGAGATAAAAATACAACTGTTCATCAGTCTTTCTTCTGTTGCTCAACTATTTGGTAACTGTTTTTACTGTATGTTTTTAGCTAACATCTAATTATTTTTCTATAAATAGTTCAATAAATGAACTCAGACAGCACCTTTTCCCCCTTAAAATAACATCTATATTAGATCAGAAGACATTCTTTGAGCAACTTGGCTTCAAGAATGGAGCTGGAACCATATGAGTACATTAAGCCCCTAAAGGTTGATTGAATCTAAAAAGAAATTATGGAAACTCATTGCTCTAAAAAGCTCATTTTGTCTTGTTGAAACATTTTAAGTTGCACCTAAAATTTAAGTAATGCACCTAAAATTTCAACAGCACATAGCATAGGTTGTTACAAATCTTTAGAAATTATTAAATAAATGAGCAAATAAGTAAGCATAATACTGCCATGCCTCATGCCATAGTATCATGTATCGGCAAACTTACAGTAGGACGATTTAAAACATTTTGATATGGCCCAACACTAAATTGTGCAGGAAAAAAATCTTTAGCAAATGGAAACTTTTATTTTGTGTGTGCCGCGCTTCCCCATCTTTCTGCTAGTGCAGTGTCTTTCATAGCAAATGTTAAGAATTTGGTGATTTCAGTTTAATCTAGGTCACTGCGGCAAATTGTTGAGAATTTGGTGATTTCAGGGTGCACTCACACTAGGCTATCTGAACCGTGCCCGGGCACTTTCCTGGTACGTTTGACAAGTGTAAGTGCTCCAAATCGAGCCCAGCCATGATTCAGTTGACCAGCGCTGGCCCGGTTGGAAGAGTTTTGTCAGAGTGTGGTTCGATTGGGCTTTGGCGCGGTACGCTTGTAGTCTGAGCATGAAACTGAAGACTCAACGACACTTTTAAGCAACTGTTTCATATGAAATTATAATTTTTTTTTACTTTTCAATGAACGCAAACTGTCATAGTTGATTAAATATGCAAACCCCTCACTGCACGTCAGCTGCCACCTTCAGCAAACCTCCTTATATGTGCAGCACAAGGACTTTTATGATAATTTATGAGCATCAAAAGTGGTGGATCTGTTCAGCAAAATATTTGACTGCATGTCACTCGATCCCGAATGACGACATATAGCACAAAATTATATAATTTAAGTAATGTTCAATGTGCTGAGTGAGCACTTCACTTCTCTTCCTGTAAATTGAACAGTGCATAATCGATGATGTAAGTGTGCTCCGGCTTGGAAGGTAAAAGCTGTGTAAGTGCAGACCGTCGGGGGAGAGAGGAGGGGGGACAATCGCAATTTGGCATAGTTCCCACTACTTTCTAGTGGGATTTTTCATGATTAAAAATAAACCAGGGCTAAGAATAAAATACATCAAATAAGTCTTAAGTTTACATAAAAGTAGAAAGCAATCAATTTCTATTTTGACTGTGTATTCTTAATTGTGTATTCTACAAAATAGATTCTGCTGTGACTAATTTAGAGATGTGTTCTTTTTCGTCACAAACATCTCTGCACATTAGCATTTTCAGCTTGTTTAACAGCTGTGTGCTTGTTTGTTGCAATTCTAAAAACTATGTGCTGGTAATAAAAAAAGTATCTTATAACTTTGATGCAGTTTTTCTTATTCATTTACAAATATTGTGATATATCACAATATTATATCACAATATTGTGGAATTTTTTTTTGTAAAATGTCAGTATATCACTGATATTGTTATATATCAATATCAGGGGAAAAATATTGGGATAATCTCGTATTGTAAGTTTACCCGGGATTCCCACCCCTAATAGAAAAAAAATACTAATTTAATTTTTCCATTTCTTACTTAGCAAATTTCCCAGAGTCTGTTGTGGACAGTCTCCCCACTGACATCAGCACTGGCATCTACTACGGTTGGGCACGTCTTGATAATGGAGATATACACAAGATGGTAATGAGCATTGGCTGGAACCCTTACTACAAAAACACAAAAAAGTCCATGGTATGTACATATAAATCTTTCTAGGGTGCAAACTCGTTTGATGTTTGCATTCCATAAATACTACTTAAAAACCCTCTATTATGCATTATAAAAGGTCATTTTGGTTTTGGGAGTCTTCAACAACAGGCTGATATGCATGCAAGGTCAAAAACACTTTCATTGTCTTATATTATGCATTTATTTTTATCTAGTTATCCCAGTGACTCATAACTTGTTCAGTGATTCATTTGTTCCCAAACTTCTCCTTTGCGTGATACTAATCTGCAGTGATTGGTCCGATGACCCCGTCTGTTGTGATTGGTTGACTGCGTTCAGCGTTAGACGGAGAGAAACGCCCACCACGGTCATGAAGTAGCACAGAATATATGTGTGACCCCAATGCAGAAGTGCAATTATAGCAATGCAGTTAAATACCAGCACATAATCTATTCTTAACCACAACCCCATGTAATAACAATGATACACATTCTGTATTTAGCTACAATGGCAAAAGCTGAACTATTTTGAAAATTTACCATGCCGTGTGTAGAAACATCTGATGGTGGCCATAGCAATGACAAACGGCAGAGGATCACAAGCCCCAAACGTATTTAAATAGTAATAAAGTAAAGGAAGAAGCACACGTCACATTTTCAACGTGGTTTTGGACACAATATGCCTCAAAGATTTAACTTGAGAAATACATTACAAGCACTGATCTATAATCGTGTTTACAAGGTGTGCAAAGTGATTACAAATAACAACACACAAGCAAATACATATTTTGCAAACTACAGAAAATTTAAATCACACTTGTGTGTTCTTTAAGAAGGAGAAACGCTTACAGGGTCTGAAGGAAAAGAAAATATTTGATCTAAACTGTACAACAATTTGTCCCATACATTAGTAGTCTTTACTGATCTTTCCTTTAAAAACAAACGGCCAGCAAATCTCATGTTGCAGGGTATATCAATAATCAGAAAAATGACTGGAAGAAACACAGCACTTGGTATACTGTGGTGTTGTGAAAACACACTTTAACCCTTTATTCCCCACAGCTACACGTCTAGCCATCTCTCAGTTATAGTAATCTGCATGTCATGATTAAGCTCAAGATCCCTTGCAGGCGCGTTCAGGTTTAACCGGATCCGGCAATTCATATTTAAACAGGGCGAATCATTCGTTCATTTGATTCTTTTGAGTCAATCATGGAGTCGACTCAAAAGAATCAAATGTTTTAAACATGGTGCACAGTGCGCTTTCAGATTTAAACCACAGCTGGATGTTTCCATTCACTTAGAGCTATGTTACACACTGCATGGATGGTAATTAAAAAAATATATATAATAGGTGCTCTTTAATAGTGATGCAGATGGACAGTGCATCATGTGTCTGATGTCACATATATTGTTTTTTTTTTTTTCTGTGGCAGGAAGCACATGTGATCCACACGTTTAAGGAAGACTTCTATGGTCATATATTGAGCGTGGCTATGGCTGGCTACATTCGCCCTGAAAGAGGATTTACATCACTGGGTAAGACAAACTATGCATGCAATTATCTCAGTGGTGATACACTCTCCACACACACACACAAACGAACCTGTTAAAACTTTATCAAATTTATTTCTTACAGATGAGCTAATAACAGCAATTCATAATGACATTGAGGAAGCAAAGAAAAAGCTGGACCTACCCGAGCACTTGAAATTGAAAGAGGATAATTTCTTTAAGACTTCCGTATCCACAACATCTAATCAGATCTTGAATGGTCAACACTCACTTTTATGATCATCTCTGTTTGTTGCTTGTTTTTTTTTTTTCTTGCAATTTTTTTGTACAAATATGTTTTTCCTCTTGTGGAGCAGACAGTATATATCTCTATGTTCACATAGAATCATCAGATTGTGTTTTGTTTGTTTATAATTAAAAAATGAGGATCTAATAATTATACATTTATTTTATGTAGCGCCTTTTAATAGTTACTTCCTATAAGTGCTTTACATACAAATCAAGACAACATACGTAAAATATATTACAATGATAAAAGAAAAAAACTATAATAGAAGACATTATTTAAAAGTAATCCTCAACAAAACAGATTTAAGTATAGATTTAAAAGTAGCAAAAGTAGCACAGTGTCAGAGCATAATAAGAAAAAGCCCTGTCGCCCCTGGATCGCAGACAAGTTTTAGGAACAATTAGGAGACCACACTGAGAAGATTGCAAAATTCTGACAGTAGTGTAGAGTGTTAAAAGATCTTGGATATTGTTTATGCAAAGCTTTCTAAGTTAGCTTTTAAATCTGTGTGGTACTTATGGGTAATATGCTCACCTACCCTCAGCCCAGTTGAAATTTTAGCTGCTGAATTCTGCAAATATTGCAATTTGTTAAGAGATAATTTGAAGAAACCAGCAAGAAGAGCATTACAATTGTCAATTTTGTGAAAAAACTAAAGAGAAAAGGGCAAAATGGTTCAAATATGTGCAATGTTCTTAAGATGAAAGGAGTTATCAAATAATCCAAGATGCCACCAAGATTTTTTTTTTTTTATTTACTTAAGATCACAAAGTTGAAACCATTAATTGTGAGATCTATAGAAGCTGCTTGACACAATTGGTGGGGAGAACCAAGCAGCATCACTTAAGTTTCAGAGCTGTTTAAACACACAAAAAAAAGTTTGTCGTCCATAAATTTATCTCAGAAATGCAGTTTGCCTAAGACCATGCATTAAAACAAATAGACTAGAATTAAGAGAATTAAGACGCAAATGATCAATGGTATCAAAAGCTGAGCTAGAATCAAGTAAAATGAGAATCGAATGGGAACTAGAATCAGTGGCAAGAAGTAAGTGACAACTTTGAACAGAGCTGTTATTATACTGTTTAATTTTCTGAACCCAGAGTGAAAGGGCTCAAACAAGTTAACCCCTAAATGGTTAAGCAGTTGGGACAAAACTCTTTAGATTTTTTGCAATAAACATAAGTTGTTAAATTGGACAGAAATTGAAATTCTTTGGATTACTGTTATGCTTTTCTAAGTGAGGAAAACAGCAACTGGCACGATACCAGACAGAGAATTATTTATTATTGAAAGAATCAAAGAGAATAAATAGCCAAAACAGGAATTAAATGCATTAGAAGGCAAGGAATAAAGAATTAAAGTGGAATCCATCACACAAGTTACCTGTGCACAAAGGAAGTTGGAATTAACTAAGCTAAGGTTAAAAATGGGTGTTCCGAAAAAAAAACTTTGTGTTTCTGTAAGGCCTCTTTAAACGTGATCTGGAAGTGCTTAGAATATCCTTACGGACATTAATGATTTTTGTTCTAAAAAGTTAAGAAAATTGCTACATTTCAGAGCTTATGTTTTGGGTGACCTACCAGTATCTACTTTCAATAGACTTAAATATGTGGAAAATTTGAAATCATCAATTATCTGAGAGAAATAGGATGTTCCTGGCTCATCCCAACTGATCCAAAAAAAAAAATAATTCCAAGCTTGTTAAAAGAGTGACAGACCAGAACAATGCCATATACAATCCAGTTTGCGACACCACATTTTCGTCAGATGCAATTTGTCATTATACTAAGGAGATATGCGTGCAAAAGAAACATTCTGAGTTTTAGTAGGAGCAAAATTGTCTAAGGCAGTGTATCATTAAAGAAATTTTTTTTTTCGATCAGCGGATGACTAACTAACTACTGACTATTGAATAACCAAAAACAGCAGGGCCTATTTGCTGCCATTTGCGAAAGGAAACAACAGAACAACAGTGTATACAACAGACCTTAATGGACATATCACCCTAGATTGAGGGGGAAAAAAATTTAAAGTAATTAAAAAAATATATATATATATATTTTTTCTTTTACATTTATTTATTTTTTTTTTGTCAAGATGTAGTCTGTTGTTTTCTATTTAGAGACTTTAAAAAATAAAAATAAAACAATCAAACAATAGTCAAAATTAGCATTTTGTCCTCTTTGAGATTGTATTTATTTAATAAATACAAATGTATTTATTTATTATTTTTAGAAATAAAACAACGGTTGATGTAAATGTGAGTACAATAATGTATGGTTGTCTTCAGCCATTGTTTCAGTGTAATTACCTAAATTAATCCTAAAGGAGATTAAAATGTTTCCTTATATACTGAAGCTCTAAATAGCAAACAATTGCCATATTCTTAATTTATCTTTGTACTAATTCTTTATGGAAAATACTTTACAACTGCCTTTTTTTTCTTTTACTAAGGTTACTACAAGCCTGAATGACTTGATTTGTTTGATAATGTGTGTTTAATTAAAGCAACACTATGTAGCTTTTCAACCTTAAAATAATGTCTATAAAATTATTTCTGGAAATATTTCACTGCTGTGGCTACCAGAGCAGCCTCGTGTCACTCAAAATCACATTTGCTACTTTGTTTGTTTGTAGTTGGCCAACTACATGATAACTATATAATGAAATAATCTAATATGCAAGTCTAAAATCCAAGAGGAAGCCAAAAAAGTGTTTTATTTTTGGGAAGTAAAGAAGAGAAAGAGAAATGAAACCAAAGAGGCTCCTACTTCTCTAGCTACATCACAGTTATTTGATTAAAGATGCTCTGTTAGTTTATAGACTAAACATAGGCAGGGTTTCCACACAGGAATATCATGAAATTTTAAATGTCCCATTCAAGACATTGAAAGTCATTGAGTTTTATGTATTTGTGATACATAAAAGTGATAGTCATGAAATATCAAGCAATTGTAATTTTGTTCACTGAACATTATTAATTTATTTTTTTCTATACCAAGTTTTTTTATCTTATTGTTTCACATTTTTTATCTATTGTTATAGTAGTGGTGTGACGAGATCTAAATCGTGGTGAGATATCTCGTCGAGATGAAAAGTCTTGTTATGATGGAGCGTGAGGGTGAATTTAACACTGAAGAGGCAGGATTGGATTTGAATCGCACATCACAAGTGCTTTGCACACACCTGGCAACTTGGGCTGCTACTGTGTTGCATGTCACTCATTTGCTTCGGTGGGTGTGATGTAACCAATCTTTTTACCGGAGTTATTTGAGTTCATTGTGTCTGACATTGCATTGCTGAGTGATGCAATCTCAGCTTTCATCATAAAGGCTGCATCCAGATACCAATGCACAGATAGGGGAACCCTGGAGACTTAACACACCTGTCATCTTCATCATCAAATACACTTTTATGCTGTCCGTGAAAAGCCAATGTTTTCCTTTCATTCGATGTGCGATTAAACTCCATTAAAACATTTATTTTTCTGTCAGTCCTTTCTTCATACTCTCATTTAGTAGCTCTGAGTTTGTTACATGGGCATAAAATTTCCTGAAATTAATTGAAACTACTGAAAAAAAAAAAAAACAACTATAAAATTACATGATCATTTAAATGTTTTTTAAAGTTCAATTTGTGGAAAGTAGGTTGATTTCTCCTGAAACTGTACAAGGATAAGCCAGTAAGTATTTATGGAATTATTCCTTATAGAAGTAAAATAACATTCATTACAAGTTTATAAAAAACACCAAAATTTTTATGCATTTTGGGATTGTTTTTCAGTTGAATAAAAATGTGTTTCCATTCATTTATTAGCAAATATTTTGCTAAAATCAAAAATTATATATAAAATATTTTCCATTCAGATATTAGCTATTTTTTTGCATGTTCTTTACAGCTTAAAATGTATTAAAATAGTAATATAACATTCTTTACCAGTTATTTAAAAAAAAATACCTTAATAGTTTTTTAGTTGAAGTAACACAAAATTTACACAATTATATTTGTTAAAATACTGTCTGTGGCTGTTTTGTCTGCTCAACCAGTACCTCCTGTCTGCAGGAAAACAATTGTAATTATTGCAGCCTAAAATTACTTAAAACTACTTTACCTTGACAGTATTTGTGTCATTTCCTGTGTTATTTTGCTGTAATATATACACACTTATTTACACAAATTAGTTCTTTATTATATTTTTGACCTCAAGAACCATTGATCTCTTATCATTTATATAAAGGAAACACTGAGAGGAACAGAGAGAAAGTGTTTACCGCTTAACCTTAATTTAATTCAATCCATCTTATTTTTATAGTGCTTTTACATTGTAGATTGTGTCAAACAACTTAACAGAAAACTAGTAAATTGAAACTAATTCAGTTTTTAGAGTTGACGTTCAGTTTAGTTCATTTCAGTGTACTTTACATTACACTGAAGAAAGTCCAAAGACTGAAGAGCAAATCCACTGATGCGCAGTTAAACAAGTCCCAAACCAAGCAAGTCAGTGGTGACAGTGACAAGGAACAAACTTCACTAGTTGATCAAAGTGAAGGAAAAAATATATATCCAAAAGATATTCAGTAACACAGTCCTGGAACACTCCATCACCAATGCCAGCTTCCACCTCACCATTTTCAAAAACACGTTTAAATGTTATACTGGTATGTAGAATGTTTTTGTCAGAGAAAGCTTGCATCATAATTTTCACACAGTTAACTGCAAATTACAATGGTTTCACTTTTAGTTACATTTCTTGAGTTTTCAAAGAATTACATTTTTTTGCTGGTTCCTGTGAGTCTTCTGGCACTTCTGCCACCTTCTGTTACCTAAAAAAACATCTGGATCTGAATTAAATGGAACGGTTTCTGTTGTTGTTTCAACAAACATTTTATCACCAACACAATCAACATGTACAGGTGAGTACACAAGCATATCAGAGATTATGTCAAAGGATGTGTCCACATCATTACCCAGGAAAACCACTTCATCGCCAGAAGACTGAAGTACATCAATTGAGCTGATATGCACAAAAGGTGGGGATTGCAAAGTTTGACTTCTGTTGGACTACATGGACTTTCATCTGGTGTGGAAGCAAGCCGGGGTTTCTATAGAGTCAAACTTGTGTCATTTTCATCAGACGCTTTATCTTTCAGTGTTGTACACACACACACAGCCTGAGAAGTCTAAAATGTGTCGCCTCAGACAAGCTGCCAATTGTCTAATCTCTTTTGAGTGGATCTTTAGAGACACTACTACTGTACATAGCACATTTGTGCGTTTCCTTTTGTTGATTCATCATTAGGGAATAATTTTTTTTTCCCCATGTGGTGTTTGTTCACCAAAAAAAGTTAATAAAAAAAAAGAGAAAGTGCATTTTTTTTGTTCATTATGCTGAATGCTACTGCTGTAATTATTTTTCAATTTGAGCTGTAATGGTGTGTGTTTTGTACAAATGCCTGTGATTGGTTGTACTTAGGGGGCGCTGGGTTATAGCAAAAAAAAGAAAAAAAAAGCAGGTGAAGTGAGATCTGTTAGAGCAGGGGTGTCAAACTCAATTCCTGGAGGGCCGAAGCCCTGCACAGTTTAGTTCCAACCCTGCTCCAACACACTTACCTGTAGGTTTTAAACAAGCCTGAAGAACTCAATTAGTTTAATCAGGTGTGTTTAATTAGGGTTGGAACTAAACTGTGCAGAGATGCGGCCCTTTTGGAACTGAGTTTGACACCTGTGTGTTAGAGATTACAGAGATACCAAACCCAGCAAAAAATAAAAAAAATAAAAAAAGAGAGAGAGAAAAAAGCAGGTGAAGTGAGATTTGTTAGAGATTAGAGAGTGATACCAGTACCTTGCCGCTGTAAAACCACAAAAGAATAATAAAATCCTTTTTGCTTTCTTTAACATATTTCCACTACCGGACCCACTCCAACAACAGGTTTAGTTGTCAAAAAATTGAGAAAAGAAAAATGAAAATAAAAAAAAGGTGCAAGTACAGAAATTAATACTAATTAGAGGTTTAACGGATCACAAATCTCACAGTTTGTATCACAATACAGTTTTTGAGTCATGGACCATTTTTCACATCAGCAAGAAAGGAAGATGACGAATGTCATTTGCTTTCCATTAATCAGAGGTGGGAGTAAGTCACATGTCCAAGTCACAAGCAAGTCTCAAGTCATAACCTTCGGATCACTGAAACACCTCTTCTTACCTCATTATGCACAGATCTCGTTTATGCTCGCTGGTCAAGTAATCAAAAAGTAGGCTACATGACGTTTAACTATGGGCAGGTTAATAAGACCAAACATTGGTTGTTCAAACTTTATTACTTTCTCTAAAATATTAAAGTGTTTCAATCTATATTATCTTTTTATTGACTGGGTCTAAATACGCATCACAGCCAGATATTTGAGGCGCTTACCTCATTTCACTGTGATCATTATGCGCATCATATTGCATATTCGGTTAATTCTTCAGTAGCCTTGTAAATAAAGTTTTTTATTATTGGATTATTTATAAGGACTAAGCTATTAAATAATGTAATTCAGAGGTGGGTAGTAACGAGTAACATTTACTTCGTTACATTTACTTGAGTAAAATTATTGGGTAACGTGTACTTTTTGAGTACATTTTAATGTGTACTTTTACTCAAGTAAATTATTAGAGAAAAATCAGTACTCTTACTTCGCTACATTTCGTGGGGTTCCTCCGTTACTGTCAAATTATAATAAACATTATCCATATGTTTTGTTTGCAAATATCGCAAGGCACCGCATTGGAGAGGTTGTGTCGCGAGAGGTTGCTATAAAGACGCGTCTCCTGCTTTCTGTTAGCGCGCGCCTGTGTGTTGAATGATGGCTGACGAGGGAGACGTGCGAGTTATACTGCGGTCACGCCATGGTCATATGCGGTTCCGAGAAGGACGATCATGCTGTCTGTATAGTGATTTTATCAGACCTTGGGGCTATTCCATAAACCAAGCTTACAGAAAAAGCCAGGCTTATTTTGGTAAGTCAGGTTTATTAATGGCGGATTCGGTTTCATAAATCAAATTTACGATAGTTCAAACTTAGTTACCCTGGCAACTTATGCTGGGAAACTAGCCTGGTCCGGAGCAGGCTAACTCTCAGGCTAAGTCTTAAGTTCAAACCTAATCAAAGTAATGTTACCATTTACCTGCCATATTCTGGTGCCATTTTAATTCACTTAACCTCTTAATAATGATTAACACTTTATAGTCACTTAATAGCAACATATAATACGCCTAAATAATAGCCTACATTTAAAAATATATTGCTACTAATGTAGCCTATTGAACAATCTGCAGTTTCGCGGCTCACTCACTGTGAACACAGCTGTGTCTCATTTCAGAGCTCTTTCAGTTCTCGAAGTTGCCATGGTAGCGCACAGCATGATCGATGTATCTATGATCGAGGTTTCACAACAGAAATGTGCACGAGCAGTTATCCAGATTATTTAAACTGAACTCAGACTAGATCAAATGATCTTCAACTTGCTGTTATGGAACCAATTTAAGCGTGGAGGTTTAGTTCAGCTCATTGAAGTCAGGCTTTTGACTTTAATCCCCTCTTTTTTTCTTAACCACTTTTATGAAATAGCCCCCAGGTCACCCGGCCTCAAGTTCAGTCTGTTTTCTCTCCAAGGTGTCAACAACAATAGTCTGACAATGCGACACGTGCTGTACATTTAACTGACATTACAGCATATACATGAATTCCAGCTCCAACCTGAAAAAAGTAGTGGTAAGTGTCAAAATTATCCCAATTTGAACCTTATTCATGGTAACTATGCAGGCCCATAGCCAGGGGGGGTTCAGGTGGTTGGAAAATCTCACCCCTCTCTGACAAAGATCCAGAATTTGTCCCATACATGAGCTCATTTGCCTTATTTTGACTGCTATGTCAACATAAATAGTAAAATAAATATTTTGAAAAAGGCTTTCAGACCAAGCAAAATGCTATATTAAAATTAATTTGACTATTTTGTTATCCATGAATTTTCAATCAAATCAAATGTACTTTATTTACAAGAGAGGCTAGAAAAAATTGTGAAGCTCTTTTATTATTATTATTATTATTATTATTATTATTATTATTATGGCTATCAGCCAAATTCTGACTGAGGACAGTTAAATGTTCTGGCCAGTTTGTAGTCTAAAGCTACTATAGGGTACAGTTCTTAATTCAAAACTTCAACAGATTCCTACTTTTTCTAACGATTTATGATCTAATACATTTGTATTTTAAAAATAAGTATTTAATTATTTTTCTTTATTCTAAATCTTTAGAAAATATTTTGGTACATTAAATGTGTCATTATGATGATGACTTAACAGGCTAATACAGCTAAAATAGTGCTTAAATTGTCACTAAAATACAGTATTTAAATCTTATACATTGTAAATGAGGTGAATAACTGCAAAAAAAAGTCCATATTTTTAGAAAACACACTTTATAACAGGCTGGTTACCGGCCTGCT